ATGGCTTGGAGTCCTCGTTGCTCGGCCCAGCGTCGGGCCCGGGAATCGAGGGAAAGAGGAGCAGCGACGATTTGATGGGCGAGCGTGACGCCGAGCGCGGCATGCCACTTTGCGCCGAGCGCGACGGCGTCACCGTTGCTGCCGATACATTCTGCGCTCTCAAGGGCTTCTTGTGCGCCTGAGGGAGCTTTGAGAGCGAGGGTGAATGTACCAGGCCGGCGCGTTCGGATGGCGAGGTAGAGGCGATGGTGTTCAGCGTCAAGGACGATGAGGACGACGAGAAGAGTGCTCCGCTGAGGCGTTTCTTGGCCTTGACGAGCGCCTCGGGTGTGCTGATGGGCTGGTGCGGCGCCGTCTGGGCCTGAAGAGCCGCGATGGAAGGATGGATGGGGTTCGCCTGGATGATCGAGTTCTTGATCCCGAGGTCGAGCCTCGGCGCGGGCCGGAAGGATTGCACGGAGCCCGGCTGGAGTCCGCGAGACCGGAGTGCCGAGAGCGACGCCGACTTGGACGGGCTCGGCGTGTTGTCCGCCGGAGCGAGAGGAAGACTGGACCGAGTGTGAGCGGGTGCAGCCTCGATCGACACGCTGATGCTGTGACGTTTCGAATGGGATGGCGCGGAAATGGAGGTGTTTTCCTTCTCGTCGGTGGTGGTCTTGCTGAGCAGACTGTTGCTCGAGGAGCGCCTGTGTGGACGAGGCAGCGTACGACTCGATGCGCCTAGACTGGGAATGCGCGATCCGCCGAGCGTCTGGGTCCGAATAGAGGAGATGGACACACTGGTGCCATCCGAGAGGCGAGGCTGTGTGCTGCGCTTGGTGCGGATCCTCGAAACATCGGGACCATCGAGCTGGTCCCAGTCGCTTTGTGCGTCTTCGTCCGTGTCGGATGCGGAGCTTTCGTAGCGCTCGTCCAGGATCGTCCGCACGGGCGCTGGCTTGGCTTTAGGCTTGGGGAGTGTTCCGATCTTGGGTCGGTGTAGCTGCGACTGCGGGTGCGGCGCGGCGATGGTGCGAGACGCGGCACTCATGGTGCGACTGCGTGGGACTGCGCCCGCAGCATGCGTGCCTGCGTGCACTTCAGCAGCTCCGTCGGCACGAGCGATCTTGCGCGGAGCCTTGGAGGAAGACGGCGATGGCAGTGTCTTGGGTGGTGGAGGTGCCCACTGGGTTCGAGCCGAAGGCGGACCACGGAGCTTGGCGGTCTTTGTAGCGGAAGCCAAGTCGGCCGGAGCGCTGGTCTTGGCGGATGCGAGGCGTGTGGTACTGGCGGAGGGTTTGTAAGCGCCAAAGTCGGTGATGGAGCTGGAATCGTCGACGCCGCGCTTTCCGAGCGACGACGTGGGTCTGCATGCGGTGGGGCTAGTGGCTGCCGGTCTGGGTCTGGGCAGCGTGGAGGCAGAAGCAGCATCGGTGGAGTTGTACCGACCACGGCTGAGCGAAGGGATGCTGCTCGCGACACCGCGCGCAGGTTTAGCATCGGCATCGTGTGTTGCGTTTGGACCGGCCTTGGTGAGCTTGGATTTGTGCTGCACCAGTGCTGATCTGAAGGAGAACTTGGGTGAGGCGAGGCCTGCGATGGCTGCCAGACCTCCTCGAGTCGAAGCCGGCTGCTGCTGCTGCTGCTGC